CCCCCCCCCCCATCCCCTCTCCAATCCATCTTGCACATTTCCCCCAGTTGCTGGTCTATACACCTAGAGAGCATCAACTGAGGAAGGCTGCTGTGGCACATAAAATGTGTGTCTTTTTGAACGGGACCGCCGGTTCCTGAACTTGTACATGGCGTCAACAGAATCAAATATGCAATATTATAAATACCCCAAATGTCTGAGATGAAGTTCTGACCATCTCACCCATTGGTCTGGGGGATCGGATGGGGGCTCCATCATTGTGAATATTTGGCTGAGCTGTGAGACGGTGCTCATTTTCCTCTTTTTAAAATCTTTATTTAATTTGGGGCTTCCAGGAATGGCATTTAGCGATTTTGGGGGGGCAAGGAAAGGTTGGCTATCAAGCAGTTGCTACTTGTGTTTCTCAGCTAAGAATGGCACAAAAGAAAGGGTTACAGAAGGTCTCCTCCTCGTGTTAGATCTAGGTAAGGTAACAAAGAAAAGATGTATATCCTTATTTGTCCCAAGAACAAGCAGCCAAAAGTGGATTTTGCCCCTCATCCTAAAAATTGTCAACCCACCCCTCCTCAATTTGTGCCCTAGGAATGGGGTGACACCTTGGAAAACCACTTGCAGTACTCTTAACCTTTGCATTATATTGTCAACCTCCCTCCTATGTAAACTCATCCCCAGCATCTAGTCTTTACAGAAGTACACATAAGAAGTAATTCCATGTCTTTGCTGACAGCTCTAGGTTTACCTTTTGTGTGAAAATGTCTAATCTCTTTGAAAAAGTCCTTGCTATGTATTATAGTAGTGAATTATGCATTGACATGCTGAATTTAGGAGCGTGTCAGCCATTGTTGGTCAAGATGGGAGACTCAAGAAACAAGAAGACAATTGTGTATCCTGCTTACCCTTTTATGAACACCCCAAAATGTCGTGTTAAGGAACTTTCAAAGAAGAGTGGGCTGGTGCTGTGGTCATACCCTAACTGAAGAATGTTCTGACCAAATCAATTTCTTTCTTTTTCTTAGCCTTCTTGCATCCTACTTAAGGGAATGAGCAAAAATGGGGAGAGAATAAGACTTAGCTAACCAGTGGAGAGGATAGGACCTGGTCTGAAATGTTTGAAATATAAGAAGTGCGTGGTCTGAATTTGGGCAAACTTCTAATGGTCCAGTTCTAATTGCATCATTAGGTGGCTGGTTGAGGGCAAGGAATCAGCTTTTGAAGCAGGTGACTCCTTCTGGAAGTTTGGCAAATCTTCCTTCTTTCCTGCTTGCTTATAGTCCCCTTAAACTGTCAGTAGTGGTTCTTCCATATCAGTTAGCCAGTCTCACAGAAATAACCCTATATGAGCTCATCATGGTCAAGTAAAGGTTTGCTCAGACCGAATGAAAACAATGGAGGCAAATAAACCCTGGAAGGTTGTCGTTTTGGGAGTCATTGGCAGGGGGAATGCTTTTGGGGGGCAGGGGGCATTCAAAAGCTAGAAGCTATTTTAGAAAGGACTTGGAGCAGATCCCTTTTTGTACGCAAAGTAGATTCTTGGAACATAGTAAAAAAATAGTGCTTTTATTGGCCGGTTTTACAAGCAGAATCCATTAGTATCTAATATCCTGCGGGATAGAACAAAAATAAAAATAAAGCCATGCTTTCTCCAAAGTCAACGTCTGTCTTTTTGTTTTCCCTGGGTTAAATTGCTGACAAGCAGTTGCATGTGGTAAGCAGGGGCATGGCTGCAAAATAAAGTGAGAACATTGCCAACATAATATTTTTGTCTTGCAACCTATTCCCTCAGCAAGGGTAGCATCTCCTGTTGATTGGGAAATGGTGCCTGGTTCCTCATGCGTCCTGTAGAACAGCCTTTCCCAATCTGGTGCCCCAGATGTGTTGGAACAACATCTCCCAGAATTCCCGGCCTTGTGGCCAACCTCAATGGTGCCCATGGCTGGCCAAAGATTTGAGTGTTTGAGAAACATATCTGGGCTGGGGGAGGCTGATGTCAAATGATAATATTTGTGGATAAGAAGGCACACACGCACACATACAGGTATTTCTCATTTAGCGACTGCCTCACTGAGTAACCATTTGCAATTATGATGGTGATGAAAAAGTAACTTTGTGGCCAATCCTTGCATTTACAACCTTCGCAGGTCTGTAAAGCAAAGGAAAGCTGAAGGAAGATCATGAGCACAGTTGTGGTTTCACTTAGC